GCAGTACCTCAGGCAGAGCCCCCGCCCGGCGCCGTCCGGATGGAGCCCTTGGCGCTCGGGGCGGCTGCTCGTCGCTTCGAGCCGTGGCGGTGCCTCGGCTGTGCACGCCATCGGCCCCGGCTGTCGGCGAGCGGCCCCGAGGGTCTCGTCCGGAGAGCGACGAAGGGAAGCCCGGGCGGGCCGCAGCCTTGCAGCCGCCGCTCTGGCCTCTCCCGCCTCATTTCCACGTTCGCCGAGGCATCGGCCGGGGACACCCCATCTAAGACCGCGAATGGACGCTAACACGTCCGTGCCGGCTGAGGATTTTGGGAAGCAGGGCCTGCCCATCCCGCCGCAGATCCGGACGCCAGCGGCTCTAGAGCGCTGATACCCCGGGTTTCACATGCTGTGCTCTGGGGGAACGCTCCCACACAGCCTGGAAATGATCGGCAGAGACGGCACAAGTTGAAAAGAAGGACCTCAACAGTGGTACACTGTTCTCGAAGAGGTCTCCGGATTCGACCCTGGCTGTCAAATTAACTTGTGTGAAAAGGAGAAACACAAGCTCTAGCCATTATATTTTCTAAATGCAAGTCAATTAAAACAAAAAAGTACAGGGAAATTGATAATTACACAACGATAAAAAACCAGTACTTAACTGGAGTCCTGTCTGCTTTTAGAGATAGACGTGATAGCTGAATCAATTCTACAATAAAATACAAGGTTGGCATTCGTAGGAGTCCTGTGGTGGGATTTTCTTTTCTAGTGCCAAAGGCCCCAAGTTACAGATCTTTGTTTCAATTATAGAGATCTCAGACACAGAGTGTCTTTATTTTCTAGTTTTGTATTATTACAAAAAATGGAAACCATTTACTACAACTATATTTCAGTGTTTCCAAGTGTTCCTGTGTGTTCCTTTGCATTCACAAATTACATTTTGTATTTTATTAAGACAGTAGTATCATTAACAAATTGTATGTAAAATAGTTTAGCTAGATAGTTGTTTGCAGTTTTTATTCTGCAGAATTTGATGGACTTTTCTCTATATCTGTGCTAGAACAAATCTGTTTTCTGGCCTTCCTTGTTTGCTTTATGTTCAGTTACATCATGCTTGCAAACACAAAACATGGATCATCTGAAGCAAGTAATCATTTGCAACACCAAATAATTTTCCCACCACAGTCTATTCTTCCTAAAACCTGATTTCTGGCAGAAAGAATATGGCTACAGACAAAGTCTGTCAAAGAAATACAAAGGATACATCATTCAGTTCATGACTATGGGCACTTCTTATGGACCACTGTATTTTAGCTGATGCAAAATGGGTGTTTCCATCCTTTGTGATATAATTATCTGAGATGCCCTTACATCTGGGATCTACTGAGACCTGTACACGTTGACTTTTTTTTCTTTAAATACTCTCCAAGATATATTTTCTGAATTTGACTGACAGATCTTCAGAGTAATGGTTCACAATTAACCATTAATTATTCACAAAGAAAAACTAACACTGTGTGCTAGTGCCCTCCCTTGCACACCTAGCACAGCCTTGCAACCAGAGTAGGAACAAAGCTACTTAATATTTAATTTAGTTTTTTCTCTCCCAAGTTACAAGACAAGATGCTTGGACATAATGAGCATTTAATGAGCTCTTCAGTACTGTGGGTATTGTATGACAAAAGCACGTTACCTTATAATGAAATACAGCAATGCAGAAGGTAGTCCTGTCTCCCCCCTGCAATTTGATTCCATAACAGTGTCAACCTGGGATATTGTGACTGTTAATTTTCCTTCCTAACATGCTCAATTTGTTTATTTTCTATCTTGCTACCTATGGAAAGGAGAAGAATTCCAGTCAATTTTCCCATTTTAACTGATGCTATTAGTGAAAAAAAATATTTGATAGATACGAGAGACACTTAAAGATGCTTTCTTTATAAAATATTTACAATGAAACACTGGACATGACCCTGAGGGAAAATTGTATAGTTCTGACTTACTTCCAAGACTGCTAAGTAATAAGAAAGTATTTAAACACTCTTCCTGTTTCTTGGAAATAACAGGAAAAGGAGTCAACTTCAGGAAAAGGATATATGCTTTCCTGTTCAGCTGCAGAAGTAACTTTTTTATATTAGCTTGCTTTGCTATCATCTTCACATCATTTTTCTCTCAGACAACTGTTCATGAAATGATGTTTCTGCAGAAATTAAAGGACCTTCATTGCCAGTGATAATCTGGACTTAACTTCCTTTGCATAGCAAATAAAATCATAGAATGGTTTACTTGGATCATATAGTCCACCTCCCCTGCCATAAGCAGGGGCATCTTCAACCAGGTTGCTCAGAGGCCTGTCCTACCTGACCTTGAACACTTCCAGGGATGGGGCATCCACCACGGCTCTGGCCAACCCAGTGTTTCATTACCCTTACTGCAAACAATTTCTTCCATTTATCTAGTCTGAATCAACCTTCTTTTAATTTTAAACTATTGTCCCTTCCCCTATCACTGTAGGCACTACTAAAAAATCTGTTCCCATCTTTCTTGTAAGTCCCCTTCAAGTACTGAAAGGTGGCAATAACGCCTCATTGGCACATTTTCTTCTCCAGGGGAAACAATTCCATCTGTTTCAGCCTTTCTTCATAGCTGAGGTGCTTCAGCTGATTTTTTTTGTGGCCCTTCTCTGGACCCACTGCAACAGGTTCACCTCTCTCCTATACCAAGGACTTGAGAGCTGGATGAAGCACTCCACATGAGGTCTCACAAGAGCTGAGTGGAAGGGCAGGATCACCTCTACCACCTGCTGCCCTTTTGATGCAGCCCAGGACATGGCTGGCCTCTGAGCTGCCAGCACACATGGCCAGGACATGTCCAGCCTCTCATATACCAGCACCCCCAAGTCCTTCTCAGCAGAGTTGCTCTTATCTGTCATTATAATTATGTCAGCCCCATCAAGCTTGTCCAGGCCCAGTCTTCAGGTGTGGGAACTGCACCACTCAGTATGGTGTCATCTGCAAACCTGCTGAGCTAAATTTTAAGGGCAAAGAAATGTAAACTTTGCTCTACTTCTTTGGAATTTCCACATCTCACTAGAAAAAGCTGCAGATTTGGAGGCTTTTTCAATTTTATCCTAGAAATGTTGATTCTGTGTATTTATACTACTAAATGGCTAGACAGTATGCTCTATAAAGTCTGTTCAATTATATTACCATTCATTCACAAATGAAATATGCATGCTGCCTTTGAGCTAAAACATTCCTTCTGTATCTCTACTATTATTTTTCAGAATATTTTATTGTCAACAGCATACATACCCTGCACATTTTTAAACTTACAACCAAATGCTATTACTGTTGTAGTAAACAAACTGTTTTTACATTAAAGTATTTAATTAGCAAAACAATCATTATTATCAATGTAACAAACTGAAAAATGCAGCAACTTGATACAAGACTGAGGTAACAAAATACTTTGCCAAAATCCTAGATTCCAATGCCAGAGTTCTTACAGGTGAGACAGTTCACAAGAATTATAGAAAGAATCCTTTACACAAATGGCATGCAGTGGACTGCTGGAAAACACAGCCAAAAATAGTGCAACAGTTTCCACACAAAACAAACCAAAATGTTGAAATTGATTAACATTATAATGTGACAAGTCAGTCTCAGTTTGAAAACTAGTTTCTTTGCCTCATTTTAGTGCTATTTGGAAAAACATGCATTTTGGCACTGAATTACATCAAGATTGCACATTTAATAAACTAATAATATTACCTACAGTTATTGTATTGCCACAATTCTGAAAATAGTTATTATGACATAATGTTTACTTTTACATAACTATTGAAGTGTTCTCTTTGATGGAGGAAAACTTGTATGGTTTGTGATATTTTTTGTGAAAATGCTATAATAATCAATAGTGATAGGCAACATATTGTATTTCAATAGTAGCTTTCAATTAACCATAGAAGTACTAGAATGACATCATACCACCTCTAATCAGCAGCTACAAACTCTTTAATACTTAAAGACTAATTTTAAATTGTTTTAAGATGCTTTACTAGTATTCTTTCACTGCCATCAATCTGAATTTCTCAGTACTGTGTAGCAATTTCACAATTGTGCTATACTGAAAAGATCTTTAATCTCATTGATGGCTAATCACAAAAATCCACAGGTGCAGAATAATTCGGACTAGATCATAGTCTGACAGTCTGAAGTCATTTAGTGGTGACAGGATGTTAACACATTCAAAAGCTTCTACACCATCTCTAATGGTGTTAGATGCTCTGCCCTTGCACATAACCATGTTTTTCCTAGTTCAAAGTTGTCTTAAATTAGCAAAAAAATAAAAACTATACAAATGTACATTTTGCATTACCACTCTTTTCACACAGTTCCTCGGGTATCAAATAAACTTTGTCAACTTTACGTAGACTTTCCCATGTCCCAGGATCTAAATGCAGTTGTCATCAGGAACCGGTTTTCTTGAAAAGCTGGTATGTATTATGCTTTCAGGATTGTAACATGAGCTCTTAAAAGAACTCATTGACCTACATTTAACAACACAGGTATTTTTTCTTCCTTATTGTTAGAGAAGTTTCAAAATAAAAATGTAGAAAATCATGGAAATCCACAGAATACATACTGCTAATACTAGCTTGTTCTAGTAGAGGTTCTGTTCACTTAAACTAACTTCTACCGTGTTCCTGGTTTGTAAGCTAGAGGCTCACTTGTTAATTTCTCCTCTATGCAATCTTAGGAAAGTCAGAAGAGGTTTTCTGGTGATTGATGAAGTCTGAATAATGATGCTCTATGGCAAAAGAGTTTCAAACAGAAAAAGTGATGAATTTAACATATGAACAGAAAAAGATTCTGACTGTAGGAGTGCCAGGGCACAGCAGGAATACAACATAGAGAGTTCCTTCAGAGGGGAAGGCCCAGAAACACTTCTTTTGTTTGTTCGTCTGTTTTCTGGATATTGATGTGGAGACTTCTTTGTACTTGCTCCACTGTTAGATAGTCTTTCACTGCCACCATGATTTTATAATAGCAGTACCATCTACCAGTACTTATGTCCTGAAGTTGCAACATATACTGGAATTGAGTGGAGCCACGTCGTCCACAGAAGGACAGAACAGAAACAGTGATATGGAGCCAGGACCATGTGATATATAACACCTGATTACCTGCTTCCTTGTACTGAGGGATTTGAAATGAACGGTGTTCAGACTGAACTGAAACACCAAATTTATAAGCAACTATGCCACTGGTAAAAGAATGAAAGACAAATTTCAGCACAACATAAATTTAAACAGCCTTAAATCCATTACCAGGGTACTCCTGAGCAAAATAACTGAATGAAAAAAAAGACCAACTGTCCTATGCCAAAATACATTTTTTCCAAATAGCTCAAATATGAACAGCAGAATTGTCCAGAGATTTGATAGAAAATTTGAGGCAGCCACATTGCTAAGCAACTCAGTGCACTTACATTATAAAAATGTTGTTCCACAATTTTCTATTCTAACTGACACTTTGCAGCAAGTTAACACTGTCAATCATTCTGTGCATTAGAAAGAATTGAAACCCAACATGGGCCAAATATTCTTCAGTCACACAAAGCAGCTTAACAATAAAAAGAACCATTTAAAAAAGAATAGGCAGAAGATATGATGCTCAGTTTGTGGTCAAATATCAGTTCATGCAGTCTCTGACCACAAATAGGTGAGGGCTCTAGAATCCTGCAGGAGTCAGGATTAATCTTCTGTCCATATAACTTGCCTGCTTTCACTCAGTGCATGAGACTTTATCTGGTCCTAGGGACAACATTCACTTTCTGCTTTTAAAAGCTGTGTCAGAATAACTTTCAAGTTACATAGGAAAGTGCTGAAATATCTGTGGCTGGCTCATGTCAGGAAAACCATTCTCCTCTTCCTCCTTAGAGAATAATAACCTGTTTCTTCAGTTTGGCACTTGAAGTCACACCAGGTAGGAGAGGAAATTACTCGAATGACATTAGATTAGCAGGTACCTGGAAGAGATTGCAAATTACTCATAGAATTATTACATTTGGGAAAGATATCTAAGATCATTGAGTCCCTCCTAGTATGGTTGATTTCATTTTCCATAAGACAGTCCCTTCTAAAGAAGAGATGAAGTTATCTTGCTTGAAGCCACTGAGATTAGAGGTTATATGCTCTTAAGGTAACCAAACCAATAGCCACACCGGAATAAAACCTGATTTGATGGGAATTCTCTAATTTTAAATAATCTTTCTTTCTCTTATTGAAAAATGGGTCAGTGTACAGAATGAAGAATTATGTCTTTCCCCATAGGAATGTGTATGCACACAGATTGAAAAAGGTACCTTTTCTAGTAAGGATTTTCTGGAAAATAGGAAAAAGTGGGTAGAAATATTTTTCACAATCTTACCTGAGGCTTGTTGCTTTTGCATGCATCATCCAAATGTTTATGCCATAATATTGCATGAAACCTTGAACCAGTCTGAAACTTGTAAACATTGCCTAGAAAAATAAGAAAATGAATGACTCTGAATTTGCAGACAGACATATAGTTTCAAAGGATTTTGATTTCTGTGTAGAAGCCAAAGTCCTGAAGTAAGCTCTTAAATTAATTTGCACCTCAAATGCTCAAACATAATGCTGCTAGTGTAACAGAGCCCATGTGAGGCATGTTGCCCAGCAATTCTTGGGTGAAACAAGTATGAGAACATATGTAGCCTCATAGGCAGAAAGGCCAAATTACAGCCACAGAAAATACCATGTAGGTCGGTGTGGGGCAAGAAAACAAAGAACACTTACTAATAAGAGAACCAAAGACCATTTGGTTACGAAGTACAAGGACTATTCATCAAGGCAGGAGAGATGTAACAAAGTTTCTAAACCGTAACAGGCATCAGAACCTCAGTAGTTTGCAAAAAGAATTGTTATACAAGCACTTGATTTAAAGAAAAAAGGCTGATGTGAATATTAGGCATGTGATCCCTTATATTATTGGTTAGCAGACGCATGAACAGTTAGACTATTGGCTATCCAGGCACGTGATATTCTAATCTGATAGTGAAAATATTATAAAAGCTATATACACTTTTAATAAATGTTTCTGGTTATACCACAACTGGAGACTGTGCATCATTCATACGCCGCAGGTCAGATCTAATTTAATCCTGGCTTTCTTCTCATCAAGGCTTCTGATAAAGTTTTTCATATTTGTAAACTTAGTTTTCTTCAATGTCCTACTGCAAATTGTTTCCTGCAATCAAATATTTTGTGCAATTTAGTTAACACCCAGATGATGCACTTCACACAGTATATGGGACTCCATATCCAGCACCAAAGCTGAAAACATGGAAACTGAAGAAAGCCTCAAGAACCTGTAAGTAACCACTCAAAGTGCAAAATAACTCCAGGAGTTTTCTTATTTTTTGAAGTTTTTGAAGTTTAATCAAGGGAAAAGAGTTATGGCACTGCAAAATTAATTATTAATTATTAAAAAGTAATAATTGCTTAGCAGACTTTGGTAAATGGTTTGATATTTTAATTGGGTCAGTGTAAGTCAAGATTGGACACTGACTGATTTTAAGGAAGCTATTCAGAGACTTGGAAAACAATGTCTGGAGACACATGGACATGCTGCAATCTCATATTGGCTGAGGAATTTCTGCAAAACTTACAGTAACTGTCAAAAGAAAGGAATCTCCCAGTAGGCATCAAAGAAGCACCAAAGCATATTGTAGAAATACATTCCATTTAATTTGTACCGTCCCTAGAAAATTCTGTATTGAAGATCTCCCTCTTATGAGTGCCACTGCAAGTTCTGTTATCTACAAGCTCATTAATAGATATTAATCTACTTCCAGTTACAGAAATGTAATGCAGACATTGTCTTTCAATACAAACCTTTGTCAGGATTATTTAGCTGGAAAATATCAGGATGTTCTGGGTCATCAGGCAGTGCCACCATCCAGCCCACAATGGAGACTTTTTTCCCAGGTGTAGATTTATACTGGAAAAGACACACAAGTCAGTGATAGCTGAGACTGTAGCAGAGAATAACTTTTTACTGAAGTTGTGCAGAAATATGGCTTACCCTGAAACAGAAAGTACAGTTTGGATGCCTTTCCAGATATACTTATGAGTATTCAATATTTGGTTTTAAAATAAATTTAAAGCTTACATGTTTTCTTTCAGTGCCTCTTAAAGCTTTTGCTCCAAAGTACAGAAGAGTTGATCCTGACAGCATGACCCAGTATCTAGTCCATGAGGAGAGCTGAATGCAAAAGGGAAAAAAAAAAAAATAGGAAAAATTCTGCATATCTCTGACATTTCAAAAATCTATTCACAGGCAAGTCCAAGTGCTACCAAAGTTAATTTCAGAAACCAGGAATGAAGATAAAGAGTGTCTCCTTGTGTAAATCAGCCTAGCTACCTAAATCTTGATGGCTGCCTGAGAATACAGTCCTTCTTAGTTGGGTATCTCATAAAAGTATCAGTACTGATTGTTTAGAGAATAGTGTTCTACCTTCTGCTGTACAGATCTTAGACTCTTGATGAAAAAAAAAGAAATTACTGAGTTGACAACTGTGCAATTCTTCACACCTTCTAGCTCTGAACTAAACTGGGTTGCATGTGAAATACATCAATCAACTCTACAGAAAACAAAAAAATTATCAAATGCATAGGACTAGAACCATGTGAAACCCCTGAATTCAGGTTAAAAATGAATTGCCATGACTTTGGTCCTATGGGTGGCTGCCCTGCAGCCTATCCATTTTAATGCAGTACCATAGAAGCACCAAAATATATTGTAGAAATATGTTCAATTGAATTTGTACCCTCCCTTGAAAATTCTGTATTGAAGATCTTCTTCTGTCTTTTATGAGTGCCACTGCAAGTATCTACAAATCTACAAACTCGTTAAAAGTTATTAATCTACATCCTGTCACAGAAATGTAATGCAGACATTATCCATCCTGCAATATCTGCCTTTGTCAGGGTTGCTTAGCTGGAAAGTATCAGGGTGCTCTGGGTCATCAGGCAGTGCCTCAAGATTTATTTCTGCCCTCACAACACTGCTTGCTAATTACACAATTGCTTCACTCCTGCTCTGCTGTCACAGCTAGAAACATGACTTGCAAATGCAGGGAGAAGCAAAGTGGCTGTACAACAAATGACACACAAAGGTAACAACCTTGTTATAATCTGGTTACAACTTTGATCAGAAAATCACAATTGATAAAACCATTGTTTTGTGTGGTATCAAGCTGCAGGTTTAATCTAATCCTGAAAATTAAAACAGCCACTAATGAATTAGGACTGTAGGAATAATTATAATTACAATCACTTACAGTAGGTTTCTTGCCTTCTTTGAGCATTGTTTTTCTTCTTAATGGCCCTTCCATGGTAATGACTCCTGTGGAACCACCTGCTGTGCAGCTGCATGCACCTGTTGGGCTGGAGAGACAAAGCATTCCTCTATGTATTTGAGAAGAAAAATAAGGACGATAAGTAAGCAATATAATTTAGCTCTAAATACATCTATCCTGCAGTGCTTTATGTATATTGTGTCATCTGATATGTGACTCTAGAATATGTGTTTCCCTAGCCTAGCTATCAAATAGGAACCAGGATCTTTCAAGAAGGTTCTGTTCTGGGGGCATAGACATAAAAAAATAAAACAGAATAAATACTGAAACCCAGAGTCAAAGGGAAAACAGGCAATTTTCTTTTTTATTCTGGTAAATTACAGAAATTACCTGAATTTCTGGAAATTTTTGGCTTACAGTTTTGGCAGTAAGAGTTCCCACAAATGTGATTTTACATAAAATGAAAATACCTTGCCTAATTGGAAAAGAGTTGTGAAAACTACATAAAAATAAATCAAATAATTATTAAAAATAAGTTGAATCATTTATTGTACAGCGATTACAATAGTTTTTCCTTTTCCAGAATGAACATAAAACTTCCCACATACAACACTGAGAAAGAGATACAACTGATAGAACCCAAACACAAGCAGTTAGCACTGTTGACTCACATGAGTCAAAGATGGCCTTCATGAGAAATCTGCTTCTGTAAAGGTTTCATGAAACCCTAAGTAAAGCCTAGTTTTCTGCAAAACGGAAACCAGACATCATTAGTTAAATCAATAGCTAAACTGAATTTCATGTCAAAGGGCCCAAACCCTGCTTTAGCATTAATAGGAGTTTTTACAAGTAGGATGGGGAGACTTCATAAATTGTTATGGTCATACAATGATATTTGGACACAAAGTACATTACACTAGGAAGACATAAAGACCTAAATTGAAGTTTAGCATCATACAATGAAAGAGGCAGACCCTGAACTGTACCTGTATACACAGCTTCGACTCCGAGGAGAATTCCGGATTGGTACCCTCCAGTTAGGCCCCAGTGTGGCATATAAACGACCCCTGTTTGTGAATGCAAATATCTGATGAGGGATATTCTAGTTCGAGACTTCAACAGTTAGGGTTTGGTAAACATGACAGATAGCTCCCAATCTTTTCAGGTTCAATACCTTTACAGTGCTTTATTTTAAAATGTTTGCCATTTTTTTTCCTAACTAATCAATAATTTGATAAAAGTAACTATTGATTTAGGGCTTACCTATGTTAGGGATCATTTGTGAATTTCTTAGCTAAGTCTGTAGAGTGCTCAGTGAGTGTACATGAAGACTAACTCACCTTTCAAGCCCTGACGGCAGCTCCTCACTAAATTCTGAGCTTTCACTGCTATCTAGAAAGAGAGTAGTACAGAGAAGGAGTAAGAAAACCACCCATGGGAAAATAAAAAGCCAATGTATGTGGATCACCAGAATACTCTTTTATATAGTACCGTGGACACCGCTTACTCAAATCATGTTTTGAAAAAGAAATGTTCAGAGTTCATGATAAAACCCATAGTTGGAAGAGGCTTACATAAGCCACTCCATTTACAGTATCTCACTGTTAACTTATGTTACTGCTGTGTTTTCATACCATTACTTTAACTTTCATCATGCTTCTACTTCAGAAGCTGAGCACTTCAGGTACATAAAATCTAGCTCCTTTGCAAGACAATATTTCTACCATAATGTCCGTTGACTGAAGTTATTAGGTATGGTGTCATGGTTTATTTTCAAGACACCAACGCACCCCTAATAGAGGATATGTCAGCTTTATGCTGCTGCTAGGAGTTATTAAAATATATACATGACAATATTAATAACTAAAGTTCCTATTTCTCCTTCAAGCCCACCACCCACTTGTCCCTCCTCTTCTGGCACAACTATTTAGCTCAGTTTTAATTTTCCCAGGACTGATCTTCTAATGCTCAGTTTTAACACAGTGAGCTGTGCCTGTATTTTCAGAAATACAAAGATCATCTCAGTGTCTAACTTGGACAAGTAATGTGCTTTCTTTCACAGTGAATTTCCTATTCTAGAAATAGCCTGAGTCTCTTAAAAGGTGACTTTCTCTTGCTTAGAACACAGATTCTTGATCACTTTTCTGATATTATAATAATTTTTAATTAATTATAATAACATAATGTGTTCATTTTATCTTTCTTTTTTAGTCTCAGAGAGTACTGTCAAACAATTCTCCCATCTTCTAAAACATATAGTTAAAATTAAAGCTTTCTTTGTGTAAAGGTAGCTTTTAAAATATATATCCACTTTTCCCCTGGTAAAAGCTGATGAACACTTTGTGTCACACACGGAGAATCTACAAAACCAATCTTCTTTCATCCCACTTTTACCAAAAGCATCAGTGGATAATTGAGGAAAGCTGAGGTAACGTTAATCAGGCAGCAGTCCTTATCTAATTTCATCCATGAAAATAATCAGTCTTTGCATGGGAACTAATGATGTTCCTAGTTCTCTACTTTCAGCTGTGTGTGAGGCTGCAGCGCCGTGGGACGGGCGCGGGGCTGTGGCTCCACACGCTCACGGTACCTCTGGAGAGCCCATTGGCGAGGCGCGTGTCGGGCGGGTGGCCGCGCGCGGGGCTGTGACACTCCAGGACGCTGTCGTCCAGCAGGTGCCTTGGCCGGTCTGTCGGGAAGGTGGCGCTTTTGCTCTCCACGACGCTCAACTGACACATCATACTGGAATATGGAAGATGAGAAAAATATTAAACCCCTCTTATGTCATGTAAAAGCAATCCTTGGCTTGCACTATTTCCACTCGGCCTCTGCCTCATCAGCAGGATATTAAGGAGCAGGCAATTATACACTACCACTTACTGTACATATAGATGCTCCTTTACTACCAAAATGAGTTTCAGATTTTACTTCTCTTTGTCAGTAACAATTATTAAATTTCTGCAGCTGGAAACTTTTAAATGTTTTGACTCCTGTCCATACAAAACCTGAACATCCTTGGTGGCAGCAAAAGCAAAAACCCAGAAAAAGGAGACACATCAGGAATCCAGAGACCAAAGTGGCAAGGAATTTTCAAGTATTGCCAGTGTCTGGCACTAGCAGAGAATAGAGTCAGCAAAAATAACAAAGTGTCAAGAGAAAACCTAGAGAATACATAGTAAAGCCTAAACCACTCTTGCAATACAAGAAATGGAAAGGACAAATGCTAGCATGTTCTCTGCTGCTATCTTAAATTTTTATGACACATGTAACTGCCTAAGCATGAGATAGCTGGGATTACGCACTTGTTTCCCAGGCTGTGACTCTTCCGGTGCCTTGGGACGGGAGGCGTAGGTAGACTTGCTGCTACTGAGGCATCAGGACATGTGGGTCTCCTGCTGAATTTCATAATTGCTGACAGCTCAGATGGACCTAAAAGACAGAGATTATTTAACACTGAACTGATGCAAATCCCAGAAATTTAATTGGCTGATGTGTTTAGGAACTGATTAAAATTAATTTTTACAGATAACCAAAAGGCACCATTTCTGAAGCACTGTTTCTTGTACATTAGGGTTAGGGCTACACCATCCATTTTGGTTATTAATCCATCTCCATTATCTTGAACTCCCTGAAGTAATTTTTAAAACAGTTTTGCTCATACTTTTAATAATGCACTAAAAAAACTCTTGGCATCCTTAAAACAGCTGGCTATGCCAAAGTGCAAATATGCAGAGCCATAAAGTCAGTTTGTACTTCAGGTGTGAACAGGAACATTCACAGGTGTTTGTTCACATCTTCATGTTGTGAATAAACTGTAAACAATCTGCTCATACTGACTCACAGCTTGAGCATGTAAGAGAAATTAAGGGCTTTTTCATATTCCTAATGGCCAGACTCAAACATCTATGAGCTCTAGAGATGTCTCATTGCAATCATTCCTCCTCTCAATTTACAGGTTTTATGAGGCCTCACAGAAAACACAGACAAACTGGTTTTGTAATACAATGGAAATACAGTGACCTTTGCAATACAGTGGAAAACACAGACTATCATCATCCTCGGCAAATGCCAGGCTCTTCTTGGCTTCACAGCAAACAGCTGAGATTTCGTTTTTAAACATTTAGTTGTGGCATTGGTGCTTGTGATGAAAGTGGGAACAGTGGTCATGAAAGTCGTCATCTGACCCACATCTTTCCCCTTGGGACAGTCCAGGTACCAGCAGAACAGACTTCCCTCTACATTACAAAAATCACTTCTTCGAGGCTCCAGAAACCTCAGCTTAGCCAGCTTCTGGACTCTAACCAAAACCCAGCCATTAAGAAGTTGACACAAGAAGAAATTTTGTGATGTGAAAAGCCATGTACAATCATCATCAGAGTCTTTACAAAAGTGTCTGGCATCAAATAAGTAATATACTGAAACAGAAAAAAACCTCAAAACCAACCCAAAACACCAACATTCCACAGCAGAGTTTGACAACAGGATGTGAACATGAACTTCTTACAGAAATGGTTCTGAGAGACAAGATTTCCCAGGAAAGTGGTCATGGCACTAAGCCTGTCAGAGTACTAGGTATATCTTAGTGATATAATTTAGTTTTATGTGGCCCTGCAAGGAGCAGGAAGCTGGACTCAATGATGCTTATGGATCTCTCCCTACTTGAGACATTCTGTTTCAATTTGTAATATAGGCTACTCTCTCTACCCTGATATCAACTTCCTCTGCCTTGAACTGAGGAGGATTCATGAGATACAAGAAGAAATAGGAGAACCAGTAATAAGTTTGTCCCAGTAAGAGTCAAAAAAAAGATACAAATAAACGCAAGATGGTTTCTTGCCCATACTCACTCTGCAATATAGACTTATAACTAGTTGTATGAAATACAAAAATTAATTCCAAATTACTTGTAGTTTTTATTTTCTCATAGCCCAGACTCTGGAATTTGACCATGAACTGGATTGTAACTAGGAAAAATTGCAAAGCGTTTTCTCTAGCAGTAAGGGGAAATATTTAATCCACATAGTGTTCTGCACATTGGAGCAAACAGTTCATTATGCTGCTTATTAATAATGAAGGGAGCCCCAAGACAAGCAAAAAGACAAAACTCCTTTTAGCAATGCAGAGAGGAAGGAGGGACAAATTTAGAGGAACCTTCAGTAGTATTATTCATCAGACCATCAATTTAGTAGAACAAAGACAAAACAGTTTTTAAGCCTGTTTTCTGCCTCATTCATATATACCATCAGGACAGCATTTTTGCCTGCCTGTCTTTGCTACCATCACACAACTGTGAATTTGTGAAACACAACAGTCATAGCATCAGTCACTGGCATATGCAGCTTCAGAGAAGGTCTTACACATGGTCTAATGGCCATGTGCAGTTTTAAAAAATGAACTTTAAGTCATTACTTCATCCAGAGATTCACAATGAATTCTAACTCATTACTTCATCCAGAGATTCACCTAGAGATACGCATCTGGGACGTTGGAGGGGCCAACAGCGTTCTTGCTGCCCATACAACTAAAATTTTGATCCATTTGGACTGTAACACAACACTGGAAGCTTCTTCCCTAAAACCAAAGTAGCTAATCTTTCATTTCTGCCACAGAGGCAAAGCACAAATTAGGACAGAAAAAGTATGATTGTGAGTGCAATTACGTGTTGCCTTGTTTAATGAAAAAACTGTATGGAATCATATTTCACCACTAGGTCAGAAAAATCTTATCTGCTGCATTAGTAGCAAGAATATACATTTCACTGAAGTCTTTTACCACAGGTTTTCATTACAAAATTAAAATTTATGCAGAGACAAAACAAATGCCTTCTGAAGTTTCAGAAATTATTACAAATTCTTTAGTTTGAAAACCTCCAATTCTTCTGATGGACTAGGTTCCCAAAAAAAAGTTTGCTCTATATGCTTTGTTTGCAGTGCCTTTCCATCAACTTGTGAACAGGAAAATACTTAGGACTATTGAGGTATTTATTACCTGCTAAGAGCCTAAAATATATTGGAACTGAAACCCATGCTAACGACAGTGGCAGCTAAAAGAGAATTTCCCTGAAAACTATGAGCATTTCAGCGAGAGTTTAATTTGAAACTCAGCATAAACTTAATAAGTGCTCATGTGCCCACTCTAAGACTTGTCCCTTAATTTGCCTGCAGGAATTGCTTGTTTTTATATTGCTTCCTGCTGTGTCATTCAGGTGTTTCTGGTGCCAGTCCTCAACCTTGATTTACATTGTTTTTTTCAAGTGGGTGATGTTAAATTCTTTTAAGTTCACTGAATGCTATTAAAGTATTATTTTTAACAAGCTACTGAAAACACAGCCTGTGAAAGAGCAGCAATCTTAAGGCACAGGCCTAAAGAATTACCAGTACAGTGCAGTGCTTTTTCACACAGACATTGCGCCACACATAAAAATAACTGTTACATTTTGTAACATATAATAGTTTAAACGTTTAAGTTTCTCACTGTGGAGAATCAGAGACCTGAAAGCAGTTTGATTAATTTTGTTCCAAAACACTGATATACAACAAAACAAAAGCATGAGACTGCATCAAAATTACTTTATCAGGAAGAACAGCAAAATAACAAATCCAGTGCTGACACAATCAAACCATTACAAAATGAAAGTTGGCTGGATTTGACTCCAGGTAGGTTCAAATGTTACTATCAAAACCTACAAAGAGTAAGAGATATTATCTAACAAGAATTAACTATTTGAGACTTTTCCCTCTATACTCCCTTTTTTTTCCTCTCTCTCTTTAGGGAGCATGGACTGAAATTTACTCTAATATGATTGCAACACAAAACTATTTAAAGATTCATCATTATAAAGATGACAATTGCTTGATATAAGTAAGAGCTTTTATTACCTGGACGGCTTTAGAACAGAAAAAGTCTGTTAAACTGTCCCCCATCCCCTAAAACAAATGATGTAGAATGTCTAAAAGTACTCCACATCTCAGATTATAATATAACATTAGGGAATATTATAAATAATATGAAAATAATATTAGGGAATAAAATTTCAGTTCACATAAAAATATTGCCAGGCTTAAGGTGTGATGTGTCAAGGGTGACAGAATTTATAGAAATGGGTATAAGAGTCTTACAACTTAAGACAACAGTCCAGCTTGGCTTCCTTGATATTATATATGGCAATCACAATTGCTTGCATCAGTCCTGTGAAAGAAGGAAATGTACTTGGATTGACAGACCACTGGAACAGGCTGCCTAGAGAGCTTGTGGAGTTGCCTTCACTGGAGATATTCCAGAACCATCTGGCCACAATCCTGTGCCATGTGCTGTAGGATGACCCTACTTGAGCAGGGAGCTCGGACTAGATGACCCACTGTGCTCTCTTCAAACTATGCTGTGATTCTGTGACTTACTCAAATTCATAGTTAGGCATCTTCAGTGAAGATCCCAATGGCAGAAAACAGAATGCTTTGTGGGATCAGATGAAAACAGAAATAACATTTGTGCATTTTCAATATTTGAGCATTTTCAATATAGTTCTGCATCCTCCTCTTCTTCAAGATAAGAAATTTATACAGTTTAGCTTTGTTAGCCCTGTGCTGAGGTATTAAGAATCTGAACGTAAACATCTTTACAAAGTCTTTGTTTCTGCTCTGCTGCCAAATGTCTATGAAGAAGAATGGTGAAGTTTATAGAATTCTCCTCAGCTGGCTACACTCAGTTCAGCAAGAAATCTGGGGTGCAGTGAGTGTCAGCATGAGTTACGGGGCTGAGGGCAGATGACCTCATTTCTGTAAAGGCGTAAGAGACAAAGCGAGCCCATGCCAAGAAGGATGCCAAAGAGGGTAAGCAGTGAGATACTGATGAAAACTGCACAGACCAAGGGATGTTTATGGACATACCAGACTGCTGAGCAATTAGCTAGGGAAGTTATGCCTGATACTGCTGATAACAAAATTCCAATACTTAAATTCATTTGGGATTGAGTTATTTTGCCCCTTTTTTCCAATAAGTGAAGTCATCTGCTACTGCTAACTCTTGTCTTTACTCTTCTGGCTCCACTCCTAGTGCATACTGTTACCATGATTGCTATTCTGTTATTTTGCCTTTCATGGAGACAAAGCACTCTTAGCAGGATTTTCCAGTCAGCTGGCATGAACAAGGGTTAGTTTGGTTTTCATTATTTCTCAGCATCATTTTTAAGATTATGCTGACATGCACAGGAATGATGTATAAAAATATAAAAATGTTATTAAAAAATTTGTTTGCATTAGGGAACGTGAGACAACTTCATCAGAGCGAGCCGAGTGCTGTTCCTAGATCTGTGGCAAGAACATTTGGAAAAGTTTACACATATCCCAAAGGATCTCACTGTTTTTTCCTTTGCATAATTTTTCCATGAATAATCCTTCAAATGTTATAAATGAATGTTACTTTTGCAATCC